CTACTTTTTAATTTGGTAATTCCAATCTCTTCAAGTTGCGAAGCCTGAACATGAGTCCAATTTATTCATCTATGCCTATAACGTTGCAATTCTCTAACAGCTATCTTGAGCATATCAAACAACGCATGTCAGGAGATCAATAAACAAAATTTTCGTGATGCGACTACTAGAAAGCCTACGTTAAATAAAGCACACCCCTGCTTTAAGACACACGAATGTATACAACTGAGCTATACAAACTAAGGTAAACACTTCTCAGGTGTTATTATTATAAGCGACGCGCTGTTGAACTCACAATAATAAACGTTATTATGGCATCACTTTAAGCTATGACATCATAATATGTAAATTGTAACTCTTTAGATAGAAACACACAGACTCGTCTCTCCCGTGTTTAACCATCTTACGAGATTGCGGCTTCAACCCTCAGCCTTCCAAAACCGAATCTAAGCCAATGATAGATAGATAGGTAGAAAACTCTCTAATATACACAAATTAAAATGGGAGAATTCTGCAAATTTTGCGAGCAAAACCTTTAGAAAAGTTTAAAACATAAAAAACATCACGTGTCCGCTCACCAACACACAAACCTTGAATATTATTTATATCAGGGTTGTGCAACCTTCAAAACAGGAGCACCTGATACAAAAAACTGGACGAAACCGCGGGCCGCAATTTTATTTAACATGAGATTTCTAGTAGTTGCAGGCACAACAACTTTGGTTTTTGATCGTATGACATCCGCTTAAGTTAGCTGTTAAGGTATTGTAACGTTATAGGCATAGATACTAAATTATACTCAGGGATGGGCTTTGCAAAGCAAAGGAATTGGAATTACTCTTACGTACTAGATTAAACGAAATCAAAAACTCGTTTCGCTGACCGCAAAACATTCAAAATTGGCACTTGTTCGCGGGACGCACATTTTTTTCTTGTGGGCTACATATGGCCCGCGGGCCTCAAATCGCACACCCCTGATTTATACGATACTTTTCACTTCTTTATCTCCGAGCACGGCCCTCGAGCAGATCCTCAAGCGATCTATTATTGAAAGCAGACTACTTTGTTTACTTTCGTGATATTTCAGCCATTCCAAACGAAATTCGATAAAATCGATGTCTTTTATTCGAGAAAAATCACTATAAAAGGCGTCAAAATTGATTTCTTTTGTTCAAAAAATCTGGTAAGCGTATTATATATCGCAATAAACATTGGTAACCCGAGATCGTTAGCCCAGGACATGATATACATAAGGGACGTATTTTAATACAGGGGTCGCCAACCCGCGTCTCCTGCGCTGGTTTTATGCGGCTCTTTTCGCCTTGGTTATTTTAAGGAAAAAATAACTTGTACGATTTATCATGTTTCGATTAAACATATTATGATTCACCGAGCATTCATCTTTTACGATTATAGGTATATTTGATGTTCATGTGTGTTCTTGTTTATAATGTGGCTCTTCGCGGTAATAAATTACAAAATGTGGCTTTTGGGGTCTGACTGGTTGGCCACCCCTGTTCTCATACTATCCACGACATATCTAGGCCTTCTTCTCTCGCTCTCAGCAGAATAATCTGGGTCACCTTGGTTTAGTGGACTCGTAGTTGGAGCGATCTTACTCTGTTGACATGGAACATCTGGAAGGCCGGGCCTAAATTCACCGTCAAGCTCTTTGCCACCTTGTCCTAAATAGACACCTTTTCATGGAATAGTCAATTTATTGGTAATATTCTTAATGAGAATTTTTTTTACGAAATTCCCCGCTTCGACAAGGGGCCATTACGACCCATATAATGAAGATACCGGTAACCTTGAATTGTCACGAATATACACATGCTTACTCTGTGATTATGACGTAACAATTTGCGGTATCTAAAACTTGAAAAGAGACATAAAGTGTTAAACTATTTCTCTTAATATTGGCGGGCCAAATTAAATCGTTACGCGGGCGTAATTGGCCCATAGGCCGCGATGCCGTTGTCTATGTCGGAAATATATCAGCAACCGGAGAATATAAATTGCAAATAATAAACAAGACAGCAATGCTCAGAAGATCGAGTATCGGTACCGTTATAGAGGAAGACTTTTGCTGAAAAGATCGACTGACAGACGAGGCGGTTAAAGTGTTCCCACGTGTCATAAAAAAGTGTTCCCATTTATAAAATAAAATTTTGAGAAAAATTCTTTGCCATGGAAAATAAATTAATAAGCGTAACGGTACTCTTCTAGTATTTGAACCACGATGGCGGACAGCGGTAAGTAGTATGTGTACCAGGTTAGGGTTAGACCATAATTTTAGGTACAAATACTACGGGAGTCACTTGGCTAGTCCCCGAACTCGTAATAGAACTAATAAAGGAAAATTGGAATGAAGTTATGGTCTAACCCTAACGTGGTACACATACTACGTTCCGGTGTCCGCCATCTTGGTTCACATACTACATGAGTACCATCGTAACAACAACGCAGCAATAACAACACACATTGCGTCAAACAAATAAATAAACATCACTTTATTGAACAATAAATTTAATAGCATCGTTATGGTGATTGCATGAATAAATTAAACGAACAATAAGAATCAAAATAATTATAGGAATCGTTATAGGATGTTGGTTTTACGACATCTCTCTCTCTCTTCAAAAGATTTCATTAAACGTAGCAAAGTCCATAAAGATGATTTTCAGTACAAGACCTTGTTTTACCACTACACTGTTACAAAAGCGCAGCACATAACTATAAATTTTGTGAAATTTAATTATAAATTACGTACAATGAAAAATGAAAAGATGAAACAACTTGGACAAAACATGGATATTTATATCTTATTCACTTTTAAAAATTTACGCCATTTTCATCCAAATGTTTAATTTTTACACACAATGAGATTCAAATCCGACGAATAACGTTAAAATACAACTAATATTTACAGCTTTTAACAGGACGTAAACGAATAAAAATGCCATTAATTGCCGAAGGGGATGCCGATATCTGCCATCCAATACGACATTCGTTTTTAGAACAGTTTTGGCCGTCTTAGTAATAAATAAAGTTGGTATAGCATTTCAGTGACTTGAGTATAGTTTAATAGTGATATTGAATACTTATATGATCAAACGGATAATCGTTTTACCGTTTATAACGGTAACAGGATTACTTAATCGGGAACAGTTAAATGAGGATTTCTTTGGGATTTATTATCTGAATTTATGTTATTGTAAAGCTATCTTGCATCTCTATTAGAAAAAGCCTGAGAAATTTAGTTTAATAAGTGATATTTCTTATTAGGCTTATATGGTTAAACGGATAATCGATTTATCCTTTATACCGGTAACAGAAATAAATGGTCGGTAACGGTTATATGATATTTTCGTTTAAATGTGTTATTTACATTTTGGTTTCATGAACTATTTTAGGTTTCTGTTAGAGAACGCATGAGATATTATATGGTCCAACGGATAATCGTTCTACCGTTTATAACGGTAACACAATTGCCAAATCGGTAAAGGTTAAATGAGGATTTCTTTCAGATATATTATCTGCATTCCTGTTTCAATAAACCTATTTTGAGCCTCTATTAGGAAAAACCTGAGAAGTTTAGTTTAATATGTGATATTAAAGGCTTATACGGTTGAACGGATAAGCGCTTTACCGGTTATAACGATAGCGGGATTAAATTATTAGTAACGGTTGAATATGAACTCCGTCCAAATTGATTATCTACATTATGCAATGTAAATTCTATTTTTGAAAATTTAGTTTAATAAGTGATTTTAGGGTTTATATGGTCGAATAAATAATTGTTTTGCCGGATACATCGGTAACGGGATTAAATGATTGGTAATGATTGAATGTGAACTCCGTCCAAATTAATTATCTACATTTTGGATTCTATAAAGCTTTTTGGGGATCAAATGGTTAGAAACGGTTAAATTTGAACTTTGCCGGAATTGATTATTTACATTTAGGTTTGTGAAGCTATTTTGCTTCTATCAGAAAATGTCTGAGAAATTTAGGTCTATAAGTGATATTTAAGGCTTATGCGGTTGAACGAATAACCGATTTGCCGGATATAACGGTAACCGGATTATCATGGATTTCGTTCGAATAGATTTTTGTTTCCATAAAGTTATTTTGTGTTTCTGTTAGAGAATGCATGAGAAACTTAGGCTAATGAGTATTATGAAAGGCTTATATGGACTAACGGATAACCGGATTTAACGGTTATCACGGTAAAGGAATTAGTGGTTATAACGGTAATAGAATTAAATGGTCGGTAACGGTTAAATGTGAATTTCGAACGAGTCATCTACATTTTGCATCTACTTGAAGCTGTTTTACGTGTCACTTGAACTTAGAATTTGAGATAATAATGAACTTCGTATTTGTCTTTGAATTATTGCTGCGATCTAACATTTTTCACGTGAATGACTTTTTCAAAAGCAGCGAATCGCGAAATGCACGTTTAGTGATTAATTACCTTCATAAAAATGGACTTTGAAAGTTGGTATTTCACTACCAAGACAAGACTCTAATATTTTGTATATCTTAGACAAGCGCATAAAACTTTACTCACTCAAGATGACTTCTGACCTGAGCAAACTACACCCGCGAACCAAATCTGGCCCACTGGGTAATTCAATCTGGTTCGCCTGATGCTGCCACAACTAAACTATCCCCACATTTTAACAAAATAACTCAAGGAATTTGTTGGGATTGCGATTACATTTTGTTTTTGCGAGGCTCATTGTTTTCCACTTTTGCTTTTGTGACACTATAAATATTGTGCATATGATGTAACTTTTTACGTCACATTTACATGGCCCGCCAGTTTAGGTGGGCAAAATTTTTGGCCCCTGGTACAAAAACCTTGCTCACCCCTGCTATAGTTCATAGCCTTGAAATGTTCCCATATTTAGTTTCTTTCTATAACATACCTTGCAACTTGTAACCGATCATCGAAGCGAGACTCGTAATATTCTGTTTTATTTACTCTACAGCTGACCAATAGTCTATTTACATTCCCAACCATGTACAGGACGTATCTCATCATAATCTGCGTGTTTGTTTTGCTAGCGGGTCACGCGCTATCGCAGCGGGGACCAGCACGAGCCGGAAGTAAGTAAACAATTTGTAACTCTTTAATTCCTTCTTTGTAAGATTAGTTAGTCAGTCAGTCATAACAGCATAACTTGAAATATGTGCATTGAAGCGTAAAGAGGCGTCATGCACTACTTCCCATTATATTTGACAAAAATATGCACATGCCAAGGTGACCAAAATAAACGAAAACTATAAATTTATTGGATCTTTTGTAAGAAGTCCGCGCCACTAATTCAAAAATGGGAGATTTGAGGAAAACACTCCCGCCACGCTTTTGAATAACAAATTAGTCATTATCCAGTCAAGATTAGAATGGTTCAAAATTTCAATTTCAAACGCAATCTGTATTCCTAACTCTAACCCTGATGCAAACCACTATTGCAAAAATGTGAGATTAAAGAAAAACATCCCGCCACGTTTTTGGGTACTCCCGAAGTATGTGAACCAAGATGGCGGACACTGGAGCGTAGTATATGTACCAGGTTAGAGTTAGGTCATAATTCTAATATTTCAGTTCTATTACTAGTTCGGGGACTAGCCAAGTGACTCCCGTAGTATTTGTACCTGAAATTATGGCCTAACACTAACCCGTTACACATACTACGTTCCGGTGTCCGCCATTTTGGTGCACATACTTCTGGAGTACCCCCAAGGGGACTTAAAAACGAAGCCCATGAATTTATTAGGTCTTTTTTAGAAATCTCCCGCCACGTTTTTAAGTAACGCAGATTGGCTTACTACGTTAATGGTACTTTTGGTGGGGGCTTTCTATAAAAAAGATCCAAAAAATTAATGTGTTTCGTTTTTTGGTCAGTGGTCTTCACGATTCAATGCACAAATTTTGAGTTATGCTGTCATGACTGACTAACTAATCTAATCTAACATCGAAATAATTTAAAAGAACTTCTGTATGAGCATAACTGTAACCACAAGTTTCAATAACCTATGACGCTTTTCACAAAAGTTATATTCTCTCTAGAATGTGTTTCAAATTTTCTGGTTCTGTTTCATTGCGTTACCCTTATAGAAGTGCCGTATAAGAACAATAAAATGCGCTTGTTTTATATGTATTATGTATTATATGTCTGTATAGTTCTCAGTGTAGCGTTGAGACACGTCATGCGCCACTGAGTATGAAAAGGCCTGAGTGTCGAGATTAAAAAAAGCTGTAAAACGATACAAATGCGAAACTGTGTTTTACGAACTATAAGGCGAACTTTGATTCGTTTTTTTTCAAAAATTGATCGTGCGCCCAATAAAAATGTATGAATCAGGTAGTGCTTTATCCCCTGCACTCAACACCGGATGCTTTGTACAAAAGTTATGCTATTTTTAGAACACGGGTGGGCAAATTACTGCGAGCGGTCTGGCCCGACGAAGTGTTTCATTCGGCCCACTTGTGTTTTTTATTCATAGATTTCCGTTATTGCGCTCTGAGCCTTCGATTCAATAACCAAGTCTATTACCTGTAACAAGACCATTTAAAGTAATTGCCTGCCCCTGCTGTAGAATATATTCCAAATAATCTAAGTTTTGATTTTTGCGTTACCCTTTCACAAGCGCCGTATAAGAACGATAAAGTGCGATTATTTTATAACCTCAATAGCGCTCATTGTAGCGTTGAGATTCGTCATACACCATTGAGTATGAAAAAGGCTTATCGATTGAAAGTCAGGGGATCCTCAAAACAGCGCTCTTACTCCATAGTGACACTTTGTGTCCCATCACTAATTAATTAATAACTCGCTAATTATACGACATAATTCATCCAAATCAATAGGCTTCTGGTACGATATATAATGATCACACATGCAAAATCTTGAGCAGATTCAATCTCGCTTTCGTGAGATATCGCGTGCTTCTAACAGACAAATACCTATCAACAACTGTAAACTAAATACTGTATTTTACGGCCAAAAAGGCAAATTTTGAATCGTTTTTTGTTCTTAAAAATTGAACGTGCACCTCATAAGCAAATGCTCATAATGTATGCAAATATAGTGTTTATGCTTAATTGCCTACATTCAAAACTAGTAACAATACCGAGTGTGTTTGTGGACCGATGCGTGTATCGACAAAAGTTAAAGCTTTGAAATTGACAAAACTTAATGACAGTATGGCAAGCAAAACAACAAAAGCAATACGGTACAGCGCAATTTGTATAGATTAATTGGTGCTTCCGCATCGGCGCCATCTTGGTGCACATACATCTGGAGCGAAAATTAATTTAAGTGATCGCCATCAACTTCTAAACATTTTTATTTTTATATTTACAGCCAGACCTCGGGCAGGTGCCGGGGCCGGCGCGCGGGCTGGTGCTGGTGCGAGAGCGGGCGCTGGTGCAAGAGCAGGGGCAGGCGCGGCCAGGGCGACTCCGGCTCCAGCGAAAGAAAAACCGCAAGCTGTGGACGCATCCGGAGTTACTATACCGGACCCAGTTGACTCCGCCTTCCACATTTGTCGGAAGTTTGGAAAAGATGGAACTGTGACGGAGAAAAAATATGACCAGTGTACTTCATTTTGTTGTGGTGAGTGATTTATTATTAGACACGAGATGGTGCTCCAGAAATGTACCAATATGGAGGTAACTAATTTTGTTTGCCTACTTTACATCAAGTTGTGTAAAGAGACTGAAGACTATGGGCAGGAGGTATATTCACTTGGCTAACACAGACAGTCCCCTAACTCGTAATATACCTAAAATAAGAAAAATAGGAATGAATTTATGGCCTAACCTTAACCTAGTACACACACTACGGGAGTGGACCTATGGATCGTTTTGTTATTTTGTTCATCACCACGTTAGTATTTCTTCTCTTCTTGTTGTGGAAAAATCGCTTTTCTCATTACCTATTGGACCAATTGCATTGAAATATTCAGTGGGTATAAATTGTATTTGTTTCTAGAAGGTTATTTCTTTTATTTATTTCAAAAATTGCTGTATGCTTTATGAGAGTCATTTCTTTGTGCGATGACGTCATCAAATTAGAAATTATCTCGTCTCTTATCTTAACTTAATTAAATTCCAGATCATATAGGGCAGCAGGGCTCCAACACATTATTCGAAATTTTGCTGTTTATAAAGTGTGCATATACATTCTTTCGTAAGAAAATGTTTATGCTATCGTTTGTGATGGCTATAATTTTAATTTGACGTTGATGTATTGCAACGGTTCACAAACTTTTTGTTCGTGTGGTGACAAATTAACACGGAAAAAATTCACGGCGCACTTACACGAAGAAAAACTACTTCCTATTGATAAAACTCAATTTTTTGGTCGTTAATCTGTACTTTATGCCTTTTAGAATTTGTAAACACGTAGGCCTAAGGAATGAAGATCAATTCTCATTTTTCACTGACTGGTTTTCCTTTGAAATTCTAAAAAAATCACGCATGTTCGCGGAACTCGCCTCAGCAGATGAATAGACTGCAATTAGCAAAATTGCAAGTAATGTGTATCTCTATTGTTACGCAACAGGTACGTGACAATTGAGATAGGCACTACGTGGCAGAAAGTAAAAAAACAGAAAGCTGAAATGAATTCAGCATTCAAAATCATAGCATTTAAAATAAAAACAATAAAACATTTATATTGAGTAAAATATTCAATCATATTTTAACACAATTCTGTTGATTTTACCTTCGTACTTATAAAATCGCTTCTTTTGGGAACCGCTAATATATTGTATATATTTGAACATTACTGTTTTGTGTTTTTTTCGTGTTTACTGACTGGAAAAATATTATGACTATTACGATCTCAAAGAATTACGTGCCTCCAATAGCATATTTTGTACAACACATCTTAAAAAAAAAATCGGGTCTGGTGTAGTTTTTACCACATGTACTTTTAGTTGGCGTGACTCAACAAATTTTGCACATGTCATTTCTAACCCCACCTGTTTATGTCATCTCAAAGATACCTCACTGCGACGTCACAGTGACGCAATAATGCCCGTCAAAATATACGGATGTTACAATTATATTTCAGGTGGCGAAGTCGTTAAAAAAGATGATGGAATCACGTGCTGTGGATCTGAAGAGTTCGGTACGCCATTCAAAGAAGGGTCAGTGATATAGCTCATATTAAGTTACTTCTTTATAGTTACTTCCCTGTTATTTTAACGGCGGTAATTGCTGGCTAGCTATTCTTTTTTGGACCTCCTGAAGTATGCGCACCAAGATGGCGCACAACCTGAACTGAGGTTGTGTACCAGGTTAGGGTTCAGATTATTCGATATCTTGGTGCGCGTACTTCAGGAGTACGTCCTTTTTTCATATACTAAGCCAGGGGTATATCCGGGGGTGGGCGCTTCGGGGGAGGGTTTGGGGGTTGGAAGTTTGAAGAATAAACCCCCTGTAGCAGATACGGACTTTGCAAATAAAAGCTTCATCACTCTTTTTAAAAATTCTTGACTATGCCCTTGTACTATATGTATTTACATCTATCGCTTCGAACAAGGCTGTATATATATACGTAAAGCGCTATTTTTATTGGAAGGTACGGAAATAGGGGTAGTCGCGACTGGTGGACTAGAGTCGTGAAGGTATTTATTTCTCACCACTTTTCCGGCTTCTCAGCATCTGTACATCGGGTGCCTCTTCGTATTCTAAATTTCTTTTGTAATTTCAGTGACCTCTCGTGTTGTGAATGGTGGACTGGAGTCGGAAAAGCTTACAGAACAGAATTGGTGAAAAACCATAGGTTAGTATATTAGTATAAATGGTAGTTCCTGATTTTGATCATTTGTCATTTATTGCACATAGCGATGTTAGTTTGAATCAGTGGTTTCCAAACCGCGGCCCGCGGGCCAATTACGGCACGCGTAATGATTTAATATGGCCCGCGTAACGATTTAATATGGGCCGCCGAATTTGGCGGAAACAGTTTAACACTTTATTGGACACGTTTAGTGGACATAACGATCGTTTCAAAATTTTGTTGTTATTGTTATTTGTCTCCATCATTTTAAAAAAATCGCTTTTCTTTTCGAATACTGGACCAATTGCTTTGAAATTTTCAGTGGTTGAAGATAAAATTTTTCTCCAGAAGATTATTATTTTTTTCTCGCTATGACGTCATCAAAATTATTGCCATTGGGTGGCGCTATATATTTGAGCATAGCTCTTCTGTGTTTTTTATGCGTTCTAGATACTGTTAAATGTTACGTCAATCCCACAGTTTAAGCACGTGTGTATTCGTACCAATTCAGTTATACCGATATCTTAAATATATATGTACCGGTATCGGTCCCTAGCGGACGTTCCCATCGTTTGGCCTGCAAATATGCTTTTGCTTCTAATTTGGCCCCCGGACAATCAACTTTGGGACCTACTGGTTTTAAGACGGTGATTTTTAATATGGTTTTCTGCTGTCTCATTCACTTTTTTTTCCGCCAAAAAAAAAAAAGGAAAATTCCTTCGAATATATATTAAAAAAATTAGGACTTACAACAGAAACACGCTCAGCCATTTAATAACTAAACTCTCTTATGATACTAATATCTGTCTCGTGTCGTAGACAATTTTTTAAGGGGCGCAAAGCTAATTAATCATATTCGTTAGATTTGATCTTTCCTGCCCTATTTTGGATATTTAAGTTCCATTCTGGTATTTTTCTACGTGTTTTTGAATAAAACATACTTTCGTCTTACTATCTGTTATTTGTAGCTTATTGTTAATTGGTTATCTGGGGCGCGAGACCTGACAAATTGAAAAAAGTTGGCGCGGCCTAAAACGTTTGAGAACCACTGCCCTACATAGAAACAAACAATCATTTTAAAATCTATTTGCAGATACGGATGTTGTGGGGCGCATTTGATTCATCACGGTCTCCAGGGATGTTGTTATGGCGACGGACCACCAGAACCCTACGTCAGAGGAAAAGAGACATGCTGTGGATCGAATAAGGTGTGGTGTGATATTCAGATTTTATTGGCGCAGGTTTACACCCCGGGAATGGATAATTGCGGGTGATAAGATTGCTGCGCTTGTCGTCATAGTGGTTCATGTCACCGCTGGTTGGTTGCAGCTTCCTCCGTCATCTAAAATCTCAACCCCAAATCTAAGTGTATAATTGGTAACTTTTGAATAAGAAACTAATGCATGTTTCTCAATGATTTTTAAATGAGACACTAATAATTAGGGTTTCCATAAAGTCTTCGAATTTTTTAAAATTATAAAGGAAATTTATCGATACCATATATTGTTTAAAATGAAGTAAAAACTTAAATAATTACTGATTAAAAAACAACAAACCTGGTTAAACGAACTTCATGACAAAATTGAAACTGTAAATGGAATTCATGAACACCCTGTATATTGATTAGTGAAATAATTGTGGAGTGTGTTGAAAATAGGCGAACATATATATTCCAAAATGAAAACTGAAAACAATGACATCATTATACAGACTATGATGTCATAAGCGTCTGAGGAGGATGAATATTATTCAACGAAATATAGAGATAAATAAGTTATATTGAAAAAAAGATTAACAATGACGTCATAATACAGTACTTGAGGCACACTGCAAGTATATGGCATCATGCTATTGATATTAAATAGCAATTACAAAAAATTTGAAGGTCAGTTAGGCCACGAATAAAATGCGTGCTTACACATTTTTTTTTCGATACGTTTTTATTTCCTTCTAGGTTCTAGATTTCAGATTTATATAACATATACTTTGTGAAAGTTATGCTTTTTTAAAAAAATAGCTGTTTGACAAATTCTCTGTTTTTCTAGCGACCACTCTATATATGCGCTGTAACAAAGAATAGCGTGTGTACCCTACTAGATACATTATTAATTACAGAGAATACCACTTTTCCAGGTCAAACTCACTTCTTTCTACGGGGGAGCTACTTGCTGTGGTAGCACTGCTGCGTACGACAGGAGACGTCAATCATGTCCATGCGGAGACGGGCAAGTAGTCGATGCCAGAGCCGATCAGACTGGCTGCTGCCAGGGGAGCTTAGGAAGACAGGCACCGTATATCATAAAGACTCAATTCTGTTGTGATGGAATGGTACGTTTGCTTTATTACAAGTGAAAATTCAATTTTTTTTTATCAAAAATTGGAATAAGGATTTAATTTCTTGGAAATGATTTTAACCGATATGATTGGTAAAGTACTTTACATATACAGCCAAAAATATACATATACAGCCAATCAAATATACATATAAAACCATAAGTATTTAATTTCTTGAAAATTGTCTCGGGTACAACGGATATGATTGGTAAAGTACTATACATATACAGCAATGCCTATACAGCCAGCAATTTTGTTGTGATGGAATGGTACGTTTGCTTTCTTGCAAATAAAAACTGAATTTTATTTATTAAAAATTTTGAAATAAGAATTGAATTTCCTGTGAAGGATCTCGGATATGGCTAGTAAAATACTATACATATACAGCCAGAAATATGCATATACAGCCAATCAAATATGCATATACAACTATAAGAATTGAATAATTGAATTTATCGGAAATGATCTCGAGGCAACGAATATGGTTGGTAAATTACCATACATATACAGCCAGAATATGCATATACAACCAATATCATAGCAAGTTATTATTCATAGTGGGGCGGACGGGACACTGTATACAAAATCCTCAAAGATCCCGCTTAACAATATTGACATGAGTGAGTGCCCGTAACTTTACTCCGAGATGAGTCTCCTTCACTTATGAGTGAGCGGCAATGACCTTACTTGGCTCTCCCGAAGTATGTGCACCAAGATGGCGCACAACCTGAATCTTAACCTGGTACACATACTATGTTCAGGTTGTGCGCCATCTTGGTGCACACACTTCGGGAGCTCCCCATTAATTAGTGATGAGTCTTTGTCACTTGTGAGTGAGTGCTCATAACTTCACTCCAAGATTAGATTCCTTTACTTCTAAGTTCGAGCCCGTGACTTTACTTAGAAATGATTCTTCTTTACTTTTGAGTGAGTGCCAGTACAAACTCTCTTATTCCTGAGTGAATAGCCTCGGTTTGCAAATAACATTTGCAAATTCCATTTCAGGTCGGTACGAAGGGCCAGGATTTCTGTTGCGGGTCAGAAGTTGGAAAGAGAGGAACCGATGTATGTTGCGAGGGCGGAATAGTGGTTCCAGTAGTTCCGGCTGATCCGACAAAAACTTCTTGCTGTGAGACAGTTCCGTACAATCCGAGAAAACAAATGTGTTGCCAGGTGAGTATTTTATTTAACTTATTTTTTTTACCATTAATCAATGTAGCAAATTTTTTATCGTAGCGGTTGCAAGGGAAAGAGAGAGCAAACAATTGGATTTTTAATTGACTCCAATTATAATCAGCTTGGCGAAATCATTTTTTTGTCCCTATATTAAATACTGTTCACTCGTGTTTGGGAATTTTTACAGTTAGTTATTTTAAAGTTATTAAAATGGTGTGGCAAACAGATTTTGTTATTTATTGCATTTCTTATCTTTTATTCTAATTTTTTTTTATGTGTTCATTTATTTTTTTGGTTACCATATAATTTATCTAAATCTTCTCTCTTTTCTCGCCCTATGGTTGTGTATGTGTGTGTGTGTGAGTGTGAATGATTTGATTCAGTATTTTTAGGTGAGTGAACACGTACCACTTCTTTTTGGCAATACCTTCCATCTTATATTCTGTACGTTTTTAAACCTTATCCAAGGTTTTGTTTACTCTCCTGATTTTATTATCAGTTTTTATTTATTTGTTTTTATCAACCGTTTTATCGCCTATCTGCTGATTATGGAGTCGAAATAAACTTATCTTATCTAATACAAATATTTAAATAAGACCCTCAACCCCCTCCCAATCTCAGTCCTACTAAAACAAAAATCCTTCTACATATACGCGGTAGAGCTAAGATCTGAAGCTCGACCTGAAATGTCAATCATTACGTTCGGGTCGGGTCGGGCTTCTCTATCGCTGACTTTTTTTAAAAAATAAATATATGTTTATAACTCCTAAATAAAATATGAAATTTCGGGTTTGCTTCGAGCTCGGGCCTGCAAATAAGTTACTAATTAGTCGGGCTCGGGTCGGGTTTAATAACCATGGGCCCGAGTCGGCCCGGGCTGAAAATTTTGGGCCCGTTCTTACCTCATTACACGGTGCTTTGTACAATTTCTCTTAGAATAAGAGTCTATAAACACTCAATGCGTTATACAAGAGGTAATTCCAATACTGGGGGTGAAATTGAGCCCTCTGCGCTGATTTTGCGTAGATGGTGCTTTTTATTGACATTTCAACACGTCTCCAACGAAGCTCACTCTGTTCCAAGCAAGCTGGTTATGGTTACTAACCTTATATGTGACTATTTTTTAAATACTCAGGGCGCAGTCAAACCTTTCACAGGCACAAACTCAGAGTGCTGTGGTCTAGTCCCGTATGACCCCAAGAAGCAAATTTGTTGCGAAGGCCAAGTCTGGAACAAGCGGACAGACGGAGGGAGCTGTTGCGGAGAGTTTGCCTTCTTTCCAGAAAAACGTAAGTTGTATTCTTTATAAATCGTTTAACAATTTTCTCTCAACAAGGCTATTGACGAACAGTACTTATACGTAAAGAGCTGGTATTGTTGGAAATTATATGATGACTTCCGGGCCTATCCACGAATAGAAGCCACGCCATTGTTACGTATGAATGGCGGATTGCTCAGCTTCTTGTTAGGTGTGAAAGTTGAAAACGTTTCATAACGATTAGCATTATTGTATCATTAGAGCATATATATATATATATATATTGATTGCAAAACTTCAACTGTGGATTCTCTTTTCTAAAATAAAACAATCAATTAAGAAAGTGTCGCACTTTGAGTAGTTATCAAAATTGGCAGATCTTGCTGAAGGTTTATCAAGAATCAAAGAAAGGAAGACGCATTGTTGTAGTGTTTTTAGTGTTCTCAATTATCTCCCTTGGCAATGGTTCTTTGTTCCCCTCGCAATGTTGGCATACCAGTTTAAAGTTCTCGGTTTGAAACCCTTAACTACCATCTAACGAAGGGTGTAATAAAACCGAGCACGCGATTCTGATCATCCCCAATTCTAAAGCCATCTTATCATCTCTCTTCTAGCCAAGATAATTATATTCTATTTTATGAATGCTGTATATACGCGGTTTCCATATTTTATGTTCGCGCAGCGCCAAATTATCAGGGCAAAAAAAACTGACATTTACACGAGAAAAAAATGTTACCTTCAAATAAAACTCAGTTTTGTGATCGTTATTGTGTACTTTAATTATTAAGTTTGTGAACATGTAGGTCCTAAAAATATTGGCAAAATGCCCTTTTGGGAACCGCCGCTGTACATGTATTTTTAATATATTTCAGAGTCATTTTGCCACCAGGGTGTTGTGTACTTTTCTGCTGCTGTCAAGGGTGATGCCGGATGCGGCGACAAATTCTACAACTCTAAAGATGGGAAATCGCTGTGTTGTAGGTACGTAACTGCTCAGGGTATAGTTCATTTTTCTAGTCCGGCATCTCAAAATGCCGTGTCCCACCTGTTCCCGTTTTAGCGAAAAACATGCCATGAGTCGAGTTCGGTATTTTTATTTCTGTGTCTCTAAAATATCCGGTCCCACTTGCTTCACAATTGTCTCGTTTAGCACACTTGCCTCACTTGGTGTGGGGCAAGTGTTAAAAGTGGGAAATAACATTTCAACTCTTTTATTTCAGAGCATCTGATTTCGCAAACCCATACAAGGCGGCAACCTGCGTATTTTATAACACTTAATAAACGAATGTAACAACCGCCTTTTCCTTCATCGTACATCTCGTTTTTCCCTCCACGAGAACTGTCGATAATTCACTCAAAAATAGAGAAGACTCATCTCTAAGCAGAGTATACTCGAACTTTAATATGACACATGCAATTTTTCCTTGTGGATCGCATTTGGCCCGCGGGCCACAGGCTGCACCCCCCTGCTTTATAGAACCTGTTGGTGCACTACTCAACAACAAATTCCGATTGGTGCGAGACGTACCGCAATGCACGTCAATATAATTAGGAAAAGAGCTGAATGACAGTAAAATTCACAAAACTCGAGTTTTTAAATATACTTTTGGCGCAAAATTTTATTGTCTGACAGTAAGCCTATTATCAAATCCGCACTGTGGTTTAGATTGCCTGCTCGCATAAAAAGTTTACTTGCAGAAGTACCACCGTTTCTGTACTGTTCAATTTATTGGTATGTATGTGTATCGATTACCATATTATGGATATATGTGATTATAGTGATGTTACAAATCCGTGATTCGAACCTTGGGCATCTGCATATCTTATTTATCTAATTCGTGATTCTAATCTAATCTTATCTCACAGTGATAAACTGATCCGAGTCAACAATAAGGACAGCTGCTGTGATGACGTGGCCTTTAATTCGAAGACAGAAATATGTTGCATGGGAAATGTGTTCGATAAAGCTGACGGTAAGTGTTATATGCTCTTTTTTTTATATAAAAATGATTTACAAATTTATCCCAACGGGGAAAAAAAACTTGATAAGAAGGCTTAATAATCATATTATGGTGAACCATGGCCTCTCGTCCGCTTACCAGTTCATGTCCGGTGTGAGATTAGTTAGCCAGGTATTTGTTTGAGATGCCGAGCTTTTTGGACACGTAGTGGACATAGCGATCGTTTCAATATTATGTTGTTGCTGTTGTTGTTCTTTGACACATTTTGGACACCTAGTGGAAAATCTAAAAAGTCGCCTTTCTCTTTGATTACTGGACCAATTGCTCTAAAATTTTCAGTGGTTACAGATAAAATTTTTCTCCAGAAGGCTATTTCTTTTATTTATTTCAAATATTTCTGTTAGCTCGATGAGATTTGTTTTTCTCTGCGGACTTCGGACGCCATTTTTGTCCGACTAAGCTGCTTCGCTTGGTGTGAATATATTTGTAGACTGTGATCTGATGGTACGGTTAACCGTACTGTACTGCGAACAGACGTGTCCATATATTTGGGCGTACCTCTCTTTTTTTTTATAATCGTATATTGTTTTGGTTTGACAATTTCTTACAGCTTGGGCGTTTTGGCGGTAGCCGGCTAAAATTGATATCTTTGCCTTATAACGTCAACATATAGTTAGGACTAGATCTGAGCATTTCGAATCGAATAGTAAACTATTCAGACGAAAATTTCGAATCGCCGCCATCTTATTTTTCTCTCTGTCAAAGGTCGAGGTGAATTCTACAATTTTTGTCCAAATTTAAAAAAATAAAGTAGCCTTATCGTTTAAAATAATCCCGGCCTCTTTAAAAATAGTTTATAGTTTCTCTTTACATTTTATTAACTGCTCCGAGAGGCGTAGACAAGAATTTTTAACGGGGTAGGGTCTGGAATTTCTTAATGCCAAGTTAGTCTGTAACAGCGAGTCGGTCCAGAGGCTGAAAAACGTTGGTTTTCAAGAGATTGAGGGTCTAAAGTGAATGTCAATCTATGGAAAATTGCTATGTATGACAAAGAAAGACGTATCTTTAGTAAGACGTATCAAAATTTCAGAAAATAACGTTTCGAAATATCCTGGCCCCTTTAGTAGTTACATTTAGTTACAGCTTCTAAGAAGCCTTGTTTGAATGGAAAGCGGAAACGCCTCATAAAAAAAATCATTTCAAATTTTAGAAAAAAAAAAAGTTTTCTTTTTTACATTTCAATGGGAGTGGGTTCAGAGTTCCGACTCTCAACCTAAATAAAATAAAAATCCATTCGTATCGAAATTCCAGAAAATACATGTTGTCATAACATTACAAAATATCCTGTTACATTTAGCTACAGCTTCTAAGAAGCCTTGTTTGGATGGAAAGCGAAAACGCCTCATAAAAAAATCATTTCAAATTTTAGGAAACATCTGCTGCCATAACGTTCCTTACTTCAAAACAAACACTACTATATGTTGTGATCTTGGTCCCAGTGGATACTTTCATCGCCCGAGATGTTGCGGAGGTAATGGGTACGACGCTGCTCTTGGAGGAGTCTGCTGTGCTGGGAATATCTTCGAAGGATTCATGTAAGTTTGAAGAAGATTAAAATGTCAATATCTAGGGCGAACGACGGCTTCTCGTCCGGTTACCAGTACATGTCGGGTATGTGATTGTACTTGGTGTGGGACGATTCCGTAATCGACCAGCAGTTATGTAAACCACCTGACGGCGGCGTGGAGTTCAGCAATCCTCTCGCACATAACTACGACCCTGCTAAATCATTTAGGGTAATCGGGGGTGGGGTGGCGAGCGTATTCCAAACGCTTAGCACGTTGTGCCACACCGCCGAGCAAAAACTTTTACTGTAACCGTCCCAATAAACAATAAATATTTTAATCCATAGATGGCCATCCTGTTGTGTTGGCCAAGGCTGTGATACTGCAAGCAACCCACACATGCTGCGTATAGGGTTTGAATTAGGAATGCAGATTGGGATGGGAATTTGAATTTTAAAATCATAACCGCAATCAGATGATTACTAATTTGTTACTCAAAATTGTGGCGTTTTTTTTTTATTCTCACATTTTTGCATTAGTGGCGGGGCTTTTGTACAAAAGATCCGATTTGTGCACTTTCACAACGCTCTAGTATGAAAGGAATTTGTATTTTTGCAAGACAGCAATCTTTCCTAATTAGCATTGATCACCAAATTTATTTCATCCTAAGTCATTTGGTGAAAATCAAATTTAAACCAGACGCTTTAACTAATATGCTACTGCGCTCTTGATCGTAGAGAAAACTTTTATTTAACACTTATAAGAAACATATATTTCATTTTACAGATGGCCATCTTGTTGTGTTGACCAAGGCTACGATGCAGCAACCCACACATGCTGTGGTGCCCAGATATATCGGAATCCAAAAAATTCTTTCCAGACGAGCTGTTGTGGAGATATCGACCCTCGGCCGTTTGATCTGATTACTCAGATGTGCTGTGATGGAACTGCCGTGCCTATTCCAACAGGTAAGCTAAAAAAAAGAGAATTAGCTCAAATTATAGTTATGCACAGCATACTCAGTCAGAAGAAAAAACCTAATCTTTGAGCAATGTCACAGCAGACTACTGAAATACAAAGAGCTACGCGCACTCACTCGGAGGTAAAAGAGACTTGGCACAAAACCTGAAACAGTTCTTGTTCACTTAGACAATCGGTTAGACAAAATTTTGACTATGATCCAGGCTGATAAATCTTGTTCAACTGTGGACTATGTAATTACAGACCAATCCTATACTCTTCGTTGTCCACTCTAAAAGTGTGGAGATCTGTACTGAACTTCGAATTGTGTCGGTATTATTTGTCTTGAGATTCACTCAATCCGTTCCATCGGCTCGATGTTCGTATCCTCCGCTAAATGTTAAGAATACGTCGTAGAATCTAATCTGAATTTTTCAAATCTGTGGTTATAATTAGGTCATGTTAACGATTATCTATTTGCGGTTCTTAGAATAGTTTTCGTCTGATTTCTCGCAGGTAAGAACCTAAAACAAACTTCAGACAAACAAGTGAATAGGTATTCATCTATGAGTCACTGAAAACAAACATTCCTGCAGCTGAGCCACTGATACCTACGAAGCTACAGTCTTTGGAAGGACTGGAATTTTTCTTGTTCAGTGTTACCTACATCAGGGTTGTGCAACTTTTAACACAGAAGGGCCGGGCACAAAAAAATTGGGTATTGGTCTTGTGACATGCGTTGTTTGCACAAGCTGTTAGGGCAGGGGTCGGCAACCTTTTATCGTTCGCGGGCCAAAATTAAAGGTTGCAAGTCATTGGCGGGCCGCACATATTTTTAGAAAGTGGATGACCGATGAATCACATTTTATCACACAGATCAGAAGTTCAATTTTAAGCAGCGCGCGAAGACTGACCATTTGAATACTTTTTGCGCCTTTAAACCATTTGCACTTAGGATCAAGTTTTCTGCGTTTTGTTGCCATTTGTCTAAATTATAATTAAATTATAGGCTCATCAAACGAGTAATTGTGAATTATATACGTGTTACGTTAAAATATAATTTAGTCTACACGTAAATTCTTTTGCGTAAAGAATATAATCGACAAAACAGCTATAACTTGTTACTATAATTCAGTGAAGCGTGGTGGGCCGGATCCTGCCCGCGGGCCGTAGGTTGCCGACCCCTGTGTTAGGGCCTCCTTGTAACCTCATAGGCATAGATATTAAATAGGGCTCCTGCATAGGCTCAGGATTCCTCGCACGTACCAGATTAAACTAAATTGAAAACTCGTTTATCAGGCCGCACAATTTCTCTTTGTGGGCATGCGGGCCGCAGGTTGCACAACCATGGCCTACATAATTTACGGTACACTGGATTAGATTGTGAGCATGAAGATTATACCAGAACCCTTTCAACCAAATTTTTTTTTTATATAGGGATGAACCGAAAGCAAGCGACATGCTGTGGGTACACTAGCGTATATGATCCTGGCACTCATCTATGTTGCGATGGCGTACCAAGGAAAATGGACAATATTTATTTTACAAAATGCTGCGGGAGAGAGACATACGATTCGAAAACACAGATTTGCTGTGACGGAGAGGTACGATTTGAAGCTTTTTGTTTTCATTTCATTCCAATGCAATCATTGTCAGGTAGAACTCTTCAGCGACTAAGCCACTAACTCGAAATGAAGAGACTCATTACTCAGCAAAGTTATGAGCAACCGGTGGAATGCCAGGAGGTACTCTTTGTAAACAAGGTTTTACACAAATCCATCAGATCTAAGCTCAAGCACATATCAAGCGAACACAAACAAGCATACGTGAGGGAGAAACTACTAAAAGCATGCCATCTCCTTCTTATATAATTCTTCACTACTGCACTTTGGAGAGCGCCCTGCTCAACCAAATGCAGACACATAATGAGCAACTATTTTTATTGGATGCAATTCAAGAGTCTTGCTGCACACTGACACAAATGTATTTCTGTTTCGTCTTACCAAAATCAGACTTCCTCAGACAAGTAGTTTACAACAATAACAAGAAAAGAACAATCATGCGGGTTGAATACGGCGATAAATGAATTCGTTTAAAATCGATTTCTCATATTAATTGTGACTCAACAATGAATAAACAATCATTTATAATTAGCAAGCATTGTTGTAATCTGCTTGTCTGAGGAAGTCTGACTTTGGTTAGACGAAACATTACAGAAATACATTTGTGTTAGTGTGCAGCAAGACTCTTAAATTGCATAGTATGGTCAATTTTATTCCTGCTAGAACATCCTCAAATCATACGTATACGAACGAAACCATTGAAGCAATGGCATTGAGTAAGGATTTGAAGTTAGTCTCGAGTATTCTCTACTAATAGGTATATTTTCAATAAGATCGGAATCTTTCAGAGTCGGCCTACCCAATTAGTTAGACCGTGGGTGGAATGTTGGGTTTCAACTCAATATTTTATCCTTTAAATTTCTCAACAACCTGATGATGTAATAAATTATGACGTCATCAAGTTAGAATGACCCCTTCAAAATAAATACAAAATATTATGAAATCGGCAATTTCTTGGATTTTCTCAACAGCTGTATGATGTAATCAAATATATCGTCATCAACTTAGAATGCATCTATTTTTAAATGAATATCAAATATAAGAAAATCAGCAATTTCTCGGAAAGACCATGACATAATCAAATATGTCGTCACATATTTACAATGTAGACCTAAAATAAATTTTTGTTATTCCATTTTGTATAACTTCATTCATATAAACATGTCTTCTACGTAGGACGGTACAGAACCAACAATTTCAGCCAAAGCCAAATTTGGAGCAACCACGAGCTGCTGTGGAAACGTAGTTTTCGATTCAAAGAAACAATACTGTTGCGAAGGAGTGCTTACGAAAGCTGCAAAAGGCGTCAGTGAATGCTGTGCTGGAGTCCCATATGATAGGACTAAGAACATCTGCTGTGACGAGAAGCTACAGAAGGTGGGTGTATTGTATTTTTGTGATACGATTTCATATTTATATCGAGGAGAGGAAAGTCGATGAGACAGCATATTCATATAGCAGGGATGGCGAACCTTTTCCAATGAATGGGTCAAAAATTATATTTTTATCGCGGAACAGAAGAGAGTGGGTCACAGATATTTAATCAATGTTTGTATCTATGAGAAACCTCTGAAACAAATCTTATAAGCTTCTGTTGCTGTTGTTGTCGTTTTGGGTTTCATTTATGCATCACTTTAATCTGGGACTTTTTATTTCACTCGATTTTATGAAAATCAGAGTACGAAAACACGCATATGAATCGCCAGAAACGCTTAGGACGATGCGGCAAATTCCTTTCCGGATCCAAAGAGTTTGGAGGGAATTCCACTCTGATAGTTTTATATTTTTAGGTCAGTTTTCAACCACATTAAGGCACTTTTACACTGGCCCATTGTTGTATCAGATTTCACGGTTTTTATTTCAAGTCTGGAATATTTTGATTTCTCAACGGCATTGTAGGCGAGAAACTAATAAAATGCAAAGTAGCAATTGCATTGTTATGTCAGAGCCAATAGCTGAATAACGAGTGGTGCATACATGCGCCCAAGATTAGAGGTTTAGGAAATTACCCTACCGGCCCGGAAATTAACAACTTAAATATGAGCGATCGCAGTCATGACCAACTGACGGTACATTATAATAGTTTAGTTATTGTTAGATTAGTTTAAGACCGGTTTTATCACTTCTTATCAGTGATATGTTAGCATTTTTATTTTATTAGTGCCTTGGCGGGTCAAGAATAAAACGCGGTGGGTCACTTTGTGACCCGCGGGTCAGTGGTTCGCCATCCCTGTCATATAGCTTACCAGTCCATGTACGGTATAGTAAAGTGAGTGTATGATGGGGCTAAGAACATTTGCTGTGTTTGGAAGCTACAGAAGGTAGGTCAAATGCTCACGAAGTTCTCCTCCCAATGGCCCAGTATGGCCATTTAAACTGAGAAATTTCAGTGTGATGGATTGATAAAGATTTGGTAATCCATCACCTTAATTCAGAAATAAAGGTATTTGTGCTGCTTTTTTGATTGACTGCTGTAAGGAAGTGATAATATGATTATAGAGAAATGATTTATATTCTCAATGCATCGAAACCATTAGTAATAACCTTGCAATGTGAAAAGTGGCGGCACCGCATGTACGATATGATTTTCATCTTCACCTCGGTCAGAGGGCCTCTCAAGAGGTTGCGAGTCCATGTAGAATATGGGAATAGTGAGCATGATGATGTAAAGTTTAGGATTCGTTTGGCACTAAATTATACTCCACGGAATTCAGACCCACTCAGGGCAAGTGTGTTGTTAACGCTCAGCTAGCGGGATGCGCCAATCGTTTGGAGATATCTTGCGTGTTATATCCTTTTCCCTTTAAATCCGGTGATGCCGTTATGCCACCACAGGTATTATTTTTGGCCCCACCTGGAGTGTGGTTGTATGAAAGTGGGTTTGAACCCGTGATCTCCAAGTTTAACGTTCTAACCACTTTACCATGTTATCGCTTCATCACGTTAATTCTCAGACAAAGACCTCTCTATTTCAAGAAGAGAGAGAGTGAAATTATGTGATCACAAAAATATCAACACTATTATACATTTGAAGCAGCAGAAAAAAGGATAATTTAACAATAATTGGTTGATTATTATTTGTGAGGGTCAGTATGCAAGACCAGTTAGATCATCGAGGCACCTGGTCCATGTGTCTATTTAAGTAATCCTTCGGAAATAGCATCAGCGATGAAATATGGATATAATATAAATAAAATCAATCTATTTTGTTTTATCTTCTATAGATTGGCAAGAACGTGCCTTGGGCAAAAGCCTCCTGTTGTGGAAGCAGTTGTATGTATGAAGGCCCACAGTATTGCTGTGAAAACAGGGTTTATCTCGGAAACGCGAGAAGCAAGAAAACTTGTGATGTCTACTGATTTGAAAAGTCAGGAAAACGGGAGACTCATATTTTGTCTTGGAATTTAGGGATTTTGTGCATTTGTTGGGGACCAAGCATTGGTGAAACAAATATATTTGGATAGAAATAAAGGGTGTTCATAAAATCTTGAAAATTTTTTAAAATTGCGAAGGAAATTTATCAATACCGTGTATTGTTTTTCTCCTCACAGATATTAAATGAAGTAAAAATACGTAAACAATTACTGATTAAAACAAACCTGGTTAATATATATTGACTTCAAAACAAAATTGAAAATATTAAGGGACTTTATGGGAACCCTGTAGAAGTACTAAAAACACCAAACATGAAAATTTCACCCATGATGAGATCCTCCTTGGAACCTTCCACAAACAAAACCCTATTATTTATTTTAATTGATTCTTTGCATAATGTACTATATTTTAATCAGCGTTTTCAGAATTATCTGTATGGGATTTCCATTATCACAATTTTAGAAATCAAATAATTTTATTTCGAATACCTTACAAATGAACGTTTTCAATATGGAATATTCATTTTTTTTTAAAATTTGTCATGTTAAACAGAAAAATATACACGAACTATTGTAAATTCATATGATTTAACTAATGTCATTTAACATGTAAAATATTTCTTCTGTGATTAAATTAAATGCGTTGCAATGTGGTGCTGCGATGTGGTATCAAAGTCCGCGATAATTTTGCTTGTTTTCCAATCATCATTTCTGAATGAGATAACTTTCCTATTTAGAAAAACGTTTTCAAGTTATCAACCGTCTCGACATATTAACTGGGTTTGGGGATGCAAAATGGCATATTGGGCTCCCCTCCCCCCAATTTTGATTCTTTTTTTTCTAAATGCAAATTTGCGGCATTTTCAGTGAGACATAAATTCCTACGCATTTCCAACACCATTTTACTCTATTTTTGAACGATTTACTGAAAACTTACTTTTCCTGTCCTTTATCTAGCCTTGTTCGGGGCAAGAGGATTATGTATTATGTATTATGTATGTATTCGTATTATGTAATTATAGGAAAAAATTCGACTCCTCATCCCCAAAATTTTATGCTGACCACGCTTTTGCCGAGAATGTTGCTTACTTTTCTTTAGTTACTCACAAATTGAGGGCTAATGTTCGTCGTTATCTGTTGCTGATTTACTTTTCGTATTTTTATTGCATTTGCCGAAATATAATCAACAAGACGAAAAAAAATATGTTTTTTCTGCTCTGGTGTCATTAAGATTATTGTAGCCTAGCTAGTCAGAACAACCTCAGCGTTACAGGATGGTGTTAATGCTGCTCTTTCACGCTTCGTCAAACCCGTGGTTTGGGTGAGATTGAAATATTAGGATTTTGTGACATGCGAATTAGCGGTTTGCCACCTCGTCATATTTTAATACAAGAGAGCTATGCTCAAATATATGGAGACAAAAAACAAAACGAAGTAGCACGAGTATGCAATCTGTTACAGTAGACTACCGCCACAAGGTGCACAATTTTTGATGACATAATCGCACACAAAAAACTAATCCCATGCAGCTCACCGGTATATTTGAAAGAAATAAAAGTTATAGCCTACTGACAAAACAAATCAATCTTCAACCATTGAAAATTTCGAAGCAATTGGTCTAGTATTCGAAGAGAAAAGCGATTTTATAATGATGAAGAAAACAAGTAAGAGCAACAACATAATATCAAAACATCAATAGGTCCAATCACGTGTCCAATTATAAGCGAAGCGAACTACATAGTACAACTACCTAGGCGATTTTATATTGTTAAGAAAACAAATAAGAACAACAACAAAAACAATCCATAGGTCCATATGTATGTGTCCAACAAGAAAGCGATGCTCAAATATATGGACACGAACACAAAAACGAAGTCGTGAAGGTATGTAATCTGTCACAGTAGACTACCGCCACAAGGTGCGCAATTTTTTATTTTGATGAAATCATTGCACACTTAGAATCAGATTTACATATTTATCCCGGGGGAGAGGAAACACGACAGGACGGCTTAACCATATAGCGAACTACAGTCTCTCGTCCGACAAAACTTTTTGAAATAAATAAGAGTAGTAGCCTCTCAGTGAAAAATACAATTTTTGGCCACTGAAAATTTCAAAACAATTGGTCCAGTAGCTAATGAGAGAGGTGACTTTTTCATAAAATAACAACGAGAAGAAAAATACCAACAAGAACAACAACGTGATAATAAAACAATCTTTATGTACGTGTCCAAAAAAGAAGAGTTAGGTGCAGTGTCCAGAAACGCAAGCTGTCGCCCTTGAGTTGAGACGCAAAGTTTTTCCGCCGAACGTTTGACGACGCAACAAAAAAAAATTGCTGTGTGTTTATCTACATAGAAAAGCTTGGAGCTTGAATTATATCAAGATACATGTATAAAACATAAAGTCAGATTTGGGGTAGGTTATTTCTCCGTATTTCTAAATTAACTTAAAATTAACATATCCAAATAAAACATATAGGAATACTAGTGGAAATATAAAAACTCTGATTTCGAGTTATAAAAACCAATCTGGTTTAGGAAAATTACACACCTCCTTGCGACATGAAATCTGCTCCTATTCCCCACTCTGGATATTTTGTACAAAGTCACCACCAAAAAATATTTCTCCGCTAACGCTTAAAATAAGTAATTATCCAGTAAGGGTTTAGTTAAGGTTATGAATGTAGATTGCGCTAAAAATTCAAATTTTCAAATCATCCTTAAAAATCTCAGCGGGGGTGTTTTTCTCAATTCACCCCCTTTTTCTACTAGTGGCGAGGGCTTCGTACAAAAGATCCTGAACTCCGAGAAAACGCGAATCCGGTGCCGGATACCGACTCCGGTCACCACTCCTAATTTAATCCTTCATCTCGTAAACATGACATCAATTTCACGGACCATCGGTCGTACATGCCCTCCAGCCATCACGTCTTCCTTTAACTAAGTTAGCCGCCTGCGGCGTTTTAGAGGATTTACTGTACAGTATTACTAAATCACGGGATTCGGGAAAGGCATGAGAAGTTGTTTGACAACTCTTAATATTATTGTTATTTTTGAGAGAATGGGATTGTAGGCTATTTTTGAGGTTTTGTTGCGAGTTATATAATATTCACTATTCTTCTATTAAATATTTGGAGTATTTTTAAAGATAGGATGTGAAACAGTCCTTATTCGGAGGATAGGCCCATCAGAAATGTTTTTATGTGAATGATAATTTAATTTTGGAGACAATCTAATATTCCTTATCATCACGGTGGAATGTGTTGTGTTAAAATGGAAAGACTTTTAGATTCGGTATGCGTAGGAAATAAACCTAAAGGATTTGAATTGGAAATATTTCTATAGCGGATTAACGGATTTACTGTGGGTAGTTTCTGAGATGATTTTTGAAGTAATATAATTTTCACCATCTATGATAGATTTGTGGAGATAGGGATAATAATTTGCGAAAAATGTTTTTAAGCGAATGATATAAATGTTTAATTCTACATTGTCTGATTAAATGTAATATACGCTATTCTCACGGTAAAATGTTGTTGTGTTTAAATGGAAAGAATTTCATACTCCCATAGTATATGTACCAGGTTAGGGTTAGGGCACAATATTATTTCGACTTTCCGTATTTTAGTTCTATTACGAGTTCGGGGACTATCTGTGTTAGCCAAGTGAATATACCCCCTGCCCATAGGTTTCAGTCCCTTTACACAACTTGATGTAAAGTAGGCAAACATAATTATTTACCTCCATATTGGCACATACACTTCTGAAGCGCCGATTATTAACTATAGGACTAGGTGGGAAAGCCCTTAGATATCTTAGATAAATATTCATTGCCTATTGAAAATGGTATTCTCTAATATTATGTATAATGTTGTAGCAAGAAAAAAAATAAAAATAAGAACAATATAAGACTCGGTATACACGTAAAACGCATGAAATTGAAAACATCGTTTCAGATGATCGATCGAGACTACATTACTAAAATCATGTGATGAGGAAGTGAAAAATAAAGTTGCTCAACAGGTTTCACTTTTAATATTATTGTGATTTTGGGCGAATGGAGTTATGGGTGATTTTTGAAGAATATTCATCCAGGTTATCATAATCGCAATTTTTCCATTTTAGGATTTGTTACATTTTTAAGTATAGAACTAGGCGGCAAAGTCATGCTTTGACTTTCAATATTATTGTGATTTAATTTAAACGGAATTATGAGTAATTTTGGGGGAATATAGGTTATCATATTCACAATTTTTCCATTGAGAATTTGTTTTATTTTCAAGTTTAGGACTAGGTAAAGCCTTCCTTCTAGTAATTTTAGAAGAATAATATCTTGGATAATTCTACATTGTCTATTAAATATATATAATATTCCATATTGGTATATAGTTCGTTGTTGCGGGAAAAATAAAAACAATATCAGAATTGGTATACGTAGAAACGCATGGAATTGAAACTATCGTTCCTGATGATCGATACTAAATTACTAAAATCATGTGATGAGGAAGCGGAGAACAAAGTTGTTCGGCGGCTATAACTTTCGATGGTATTGTAATTTTAGTCGAATGGAATTATGGGTTGCTTTTGCGGTGTATTTTTTGCCAGTGATGTTAATATTTGGAGGATAGCCCTGTCAGTAATATATTCTATGCATAGAAAGAACGGTACTCCTGAAGTATGCGTACCAAGATGTCGCACAACCTGAACCCTGACCTGGTACTCAATCTGAGTTCAGGTTGTGCGCCATCTTGGTGCGCATACTTCAGGAGGTCCAAAAGAACATTACCAAACTCGGAAAGTTCACTATCTTTCTATTCAATACTTGATAGATTTTCATGGGGGCCGGCTAGTAATGTTTTGAGGTGAATAATATCTTGGATAACTCTACATTGTCTCTCCAACATAATATTCGTTATTGTTATTATGTAGAATGTTGTTGCGGAAAAAATAAAGACAATGCCAGATTCGGTATGCGTAACAACGCATGGAATCGAAACTATCGTTTCAGAAGGTCGATGCAACATTACTAAATATCATGTGATTCATGATGGCAAGAATAACTTGTTCGGCGGCTCTAACTTTTTATGATATTGTAATTTTAGTCGAATGGAATAACAGGGATTTTTTGAAGTAAATAGTATTTATTACTTAGCCAGTAGGCGGATATGGTATTTTTAGAAGGGTGAGCCGCGCTTAATTTGTTCGACGAATTTCCTAATTTATATTATTCCCTATTTTGGTAGGAATTTCGATATATGTATAGAAAAAAGTTGAATGATTTTTGATGAAAAGGATTACAATATAATTGTGTTGATAATCATCAGATTATGATATTTTCACGCGACCAGGGCCATCTTCGTCATAATATGTATTTGATTTATGGAAGTAGAGTTAATAATAATGCGCAGTATGGACGTGTGAGACAAGTTTCTGAATAGCAAACAGAATTTTTTCAAGCGGGCTTAAAAGAAAATTAGGTTAAGGGCATAAACGCCCGCACAATATCTAGTGTCGACGTTTCAATTAGAATACTTTATTCCTCAAAAGTGATTGTCAAGTGGCGAGACAGCGCTGGGCTAAACTATTAGTGAGTAATAAGCGCACATCTATTCAATTACCAGAGTATTTTAATGTCACTGCAAATATCATTGCTTTAGAGCAAATAATGTAATATTTGTGCAGAATAAGTAATAGACGATCAGAATCATTCACATTGGTGGAATGGGGTTGGGGTGGATTGGGGCGGGAATACTCAGATGAAAATGCGCGCTTTTATACCTCGAATAACTTCGACAGGAAAGTAGTCTACAGATCGATTATATAAGATATTGTTTGACATCAGTGGCTACCCTTATCTAGCCATGTTCGGAGCAAAAAGCACGAATAAGCGTCGCAATAAATCATTGTACAGAAAAACATTTGCCCCCCATCAAAAAATTTTTGGTCTGACTACGCTCCTAATAAACGAAAGTCTGTTACGATAATCCTTGGTATGTCTTGTTAGGGGAAGGATGGAATAACTCATAAAACCTATCTTTATACCCGACGTATGCCTGTGATCTCACGAGAGGCCATGGTTGGCAATATGAATGAGTCATATTATTGCCTTTCCCCTCCAACGAGATAAAAATAAAACCCTGTCCTAATTGTGGGATCCTTTGGAAGCATGTTACAATTTGTGACGTGCTTAACACAGGTGT